GGGGGGTGGCAGCGGGGATGAGAATAAACTTCTGTGTCTGAAGGAACAAAGTGGTTTTCGGTTTATTTCTTTCAATGTCAGCCTGGAGGGCCCTGCGTGCAGGTGTGGGAGCAGCAGCAGAGCGGCTGTGCCCCCCCCAGAGCCAGACCTGGACTGCAGGGCTGCCATCGCTGCACTGCTGTGCTGCGTGGGGCCGCGCTCCGCTCCCAGCACTGGGGTTGCAGCCCCTCCTGCCTCCACTCAGTGCTGTTTTTTGCTTTCTTACCCCACTAGATAGGTGTGAGGCATGATGGGTGGGAGCGAGTTCCTATGATGTGTCAATTAAAAGCTAACCGAATAGGCTCGATGCTTTAGAAGCAAAAACCCTTTACCTCCTTGGAAGATTTCTTCACTGGGAGCAGCACCTGCTCGGCCCTCTGCCTGCAGATCCACGCTGCCCTCAGCTCAGCTCCGGGAGCCGTCCGTCCCACTGCTCTCCATGCCGGTGCTGGGAGGTGTGGGGCCGTTCCCTGCAGGGTGCTGCCCAGCAGTGACAAACGTGGAAGACATAAAGGCAATAAGTTGTTGTTAAGCAACTCTTCTATTACTTGAAAAAGAAAAGTACATGAGAACAGTTCTGAAGTTGTGACGGTTTGAACGATATTTATATGTATTTTGATGAAGATTGAGAATAACTGAACTTGAAGTTTGGTGGGGTTTTTTTTGCTTTTTTTTTTTTGCTTTTTTTTTAATAAATCCTGTATTCTCTCAGTCCTTCAGAGCACTTTTCCGCAGCTCTCGGGGTCCTCCCAGCTTTACAGCCATGCAAAACCACAAAAGAAACAACCAGAAACGCAAAGGAGAGCGACTTGAGTGTGTCAGGAAGGCGCGAAGTGAGTCTATGAAAACGTATCTTTATGTAACATATCTATTAGTGCCTTATGAAAGAAGCAGCATCGCTCCCTTTTTCAAGAGGGGAGAAGGGAATCCTGGGCATCACCACCCAGCAGTGCTGCTCTGCATGCCATGCACAGGGCAGCTGTCCCCCCATGGGCTGAGGATGCTGCCTGGGTCACCTGGGCACTCCTGCCCATGGCGTGGGTCAGGAACCACAGCTGCTGTTGGACATGAGGTACCAACCAAAAGACATCTGTAATATCTGCTGCCCTCTTGAGCCAAAACGCGTGCATAGTGTGGTTGGGTTTTATTTCCGGGGGGTGTTCTGTTCTGTGAGCTTAACTCGTGTGTTTGCTACAAAAACCAAATGGTTACCTCAGTGGGTGTGGGGTGGGATGTGCATCGTGGTCCGGCACGGAGCAGCCGGGGTTCTTAGAGGCACTGCTGGGCGGTGGGCACTGAGCGGTGCTGTGTTGGCTTTGTGCAGTCAGAGCGGCTCCAGGTCTTCTGTCAGGCCTAGGGATTTCAACTTAATTCTCTTTTTTCCCTCCCCATCCTCACCCAATGCAAACTTCAGTTTCACAGACCTCACCCCGAGCATCCCGCAGCTCCTTGATCCCTTTGCTGAGTTACTGGCTCTGCTTTCCTTTGCCGTGTGGGGCGTGGAATGAGCTTACAGCAGGATGGCTCACTTGCACCAAACTGCCGTTGCAGCACTGCCGTCAGCCCATGTCCCACACACCCCTGGAACTGCCATGGGCTGCCAGAATGGGGCTCAGCCCAGCCCAGTGCAGCCCCAGCCCAGCCCAGCTCAGCACAGCCAACTTGTCCCCTTGTGCCCGGCTCCTTTCCGCATCCTGCAGCCCTGCACACCCTGTGTTTCCAATGCAGGACCAGATCTGGGGCCCAGATGAACTCCCAAGTTCTGAATGGATGTTTAGAAATCATGCTCTTGACTTACGCTGATGATTCTTTATTATTGTTGTCATTATTATTGCTCTTTAATGTTATTTTTGCCTCGGGGTCCACGTCTCCCACCCCCAGTCCCTCCATGGCCGGGTGCTGGCCATGCACTCTGTCTCCCTTTGGTCTCTATGCAGGACCTGCCCACAGCTGCTCTCGCATCCCACAGCTGCAGCAGAGGGAACATCAGGCCCTGCCCAGGTGACTTACTGTGACAAAAGCAGGAGAAATAAATCATGGCCAGTGCTCAGCAGCCTCCTGTCGCAGCTCAGCCTTTTGCTCAGAGTTGTAGGAGTCGTGTTGTCTTTGGAAGGGTTCATTAATCTGAGGGATTTCCTTAGGGTACAGTATGGCAAACAGCATCCTGAGCGTGCCACCAGAACGAACGTGGCTTTCTCATGAGGATGGCAATGAGCAGTGCATTTCATTGAGGCTTTGGTCCCCTCCACAGCCCGCTGGTGTGAGACTCAGCCTCACTGAGGTATCTTAACTGAGGGCATAAGGAAATCCATCTGATTTCTGGAGCCCTCACCTTCCATATGTGTGTACAACCTCTACATTGCACTAACTGCCGTGTTAAAGAAATAGAAACCCAGTGTTTTCACTAAGGATGAGACAAGGACTGCCTCCAGGTGTGTAGCACCAGCAGTGCTGGCTGAGGACAGAATGAATTCATAGTCTCTCTGTTTCACTCAGACATTCTCTGTGTACAACACAATGCTACCACAAAACAAAAGCGTTTTCCAGAAATGGCATTTCAAATTGTTGCTGTGCTATAGAAGCCCATAAGGGACAGCATTACAGTCCTGGTTTGCCTGCCTTACAGACACACTCATGGTATTCATCTTTCCTCAGCCTTCCAGATGCATTGCTTTGGCTTTGGAGTTTGTTATGGGCAGTCCTGCATCCCGAGTTCTGTTCAAGTTTAAACTTCTGTAAACTATTGACCGCACATGCAATGCAGTACTTACCTATATTTTGCTGGTTTAGTATGAATATGTACTCTGATGCCAATTTACAAAATTCTGTTGTAAATGCTTATTGTGTAACAGTAACCAATAGTGGCAATTATATGTCATTCTAAAAGCTGCAATACTTATACAATAAATTTTACAATACTTTGGACAATTTGCCTTCACCTTTTGCTTTGTTACCCTAAAACCAGAGTTCGCCAACGCAACGTCATCTAAGGAGCTCTTCCCATTTTCTTTTTGAATACTGGAAAAAGAATATTCTCAGGTTTGGGTATTTTTGTGCTCCCCCTTCTGCACAGCATCCTTTGGCCCAGCCGGCGCTGTGCGGGCGCAGCGTGCTGTGCTGCTGTTTGCTGTGCTGCTCTTTGCTGTGCTGCTCTTTGCTGTGCACCTCAGCTCCTTTTGCTTTGAGCTCCAGCACTGCCACTTTCCTCCCAGAAGAAGCGCAGCCACCCCTCAGATGGGACCACCGACGGTCAGAGCTTTAACCTGAGTGACCATCAGTGGATGAGAACAGTGCAGGTGGGCTCACACCCTGAGCACCAACCACGTGTGTGACTTTTCTTCCTGAGACTGCAGTCACACAGCAGCCATCACATTAAAATGGTTGGAAGCGTCACTGTTTGCAGGGGGTTTTCTTTGTGTATCTCTGGAGGATGTTCTGTAGAGCTGCCTGCCCTGTGCAGTGTGTGTCCCCCTCAAGACGAAGATGCAGCAGTGAGCCCTGCACTCTCAGGGCCATCGGCCATGCTGGGCAGCTGTGGGATGTGGAGATGCCACAGAGCTGTGCCATCAGAGCTATGGGTGCGTAGTGCTCAGCAGTGCCCCATGAGCCAGCATTAGGTCCCTGTACCACATGCCAGCTGTCAGCCTTTTTTCCTCTAAATCTTGCTGTAAATGAGCAGAAACTTTCTCCCTCCTTTTAGCAACTGAACAGCTTACATGAATGCTGGAAATAAATACAGTTTTTAAGGCGTTTGCAGTCCATGCGATGCTTTATCCCACAGCAGGGCTCTGCAGGGCTGGGTTCCCACCTTCGGGGAAGGCTGTCCTGTGCATCCCAACCATGTGCACGGCCCAGAGCACACCTCCACTGCCTGCAGGGCCGAGCATTCAGCCCAGACCCCACACTGATGTCTCAGGGAGACATTACAAAGGGAGTCATTCAACTGGCTCTGAGCATTGTGCCAAAAAGCCAAAGGTCTCCTGGAGCACCACAGCCTCATCCCATCCCAGCGCCCCTTTCTGCCCTTCCTGGAGCCCGGCTCACCCGCACCTTTCCCTGGGGAGGGACAGCTTTGGTTTTCAGTCACTCTTTCGAAATGATGGTTGTTTTTTTTTCCCATTTTTGGCTGGAACCAACGTCTTCCCACAGAAA